GGGGGGGAAGTGGTTTGGTATGGTAATTACTTTGGAAGAATGATCCTACCTATACCTCATAAACTGAGGGATGAAGGTTTATGCAAACCTGACTTCCTGGAACCAGCGACATACGCTCAGCGCATTGTCACGTCCGGTCTGAGGGTGCTCTAATGAGTTCAGGTCCGTGCCTCACAGCACCGTGCCTGGAGCGGGCAGACTTGCCCCTCGCCCCCAGCTGCAAATTACTGAGTGGTTGTGCTCAAACGTAACAGTCACCTTTTCTGACAAAATGGAAGAGTGGAGGGGTGGGGAAAAGCTCAAGTTCATCCTGAGGCAGGACAGTTATTAATATGGCCTTTCTTAAGTGGATACCTAAAGAGATAGCCTCTAAAAGCTTTCAGATGTGTCTTTCAAACCACTGGTGAATTTATGATGTCACAAGCAACCTATATTGCTTTGGCATTAGAATGGACAACTGACTGAAACCCTACCTATCACATACTGCTCTACACATTCCTTCACAGAGCTGTGTTGGAACTTCAGTTTACTTACAGAGTAGAAAGTGGATTTTACCACATGTGATGGGTAAGCCTTCTGGCACTCCTCACGTACTTTGCTTTTCCATGGAAAAAATGGTCTGCATACTCTGAACGTCTCAGTACTAATGTTCAGTACTGCATCAGGCCCAGTCTAATCTTGTGTGCTGTCTCTGACATCTGTTTACATATGCTCACAGAACACCTCAAAGTGGATTTCTCTGTTAAAGGATTTTACTTTTTTTAATTGTGTGTGGTACGGAACACACCATCAGAAAGACAGCACAGCATCATTTTAACTGGCCTTAGGGAGGAGATGACACGCAGTGGGCAGGAGCCCTCATCTGTGAGATGAGAAGCTGAAGCTCCTCTTTCCAGCTGCTGAGGAAGAAAAGCTGTGAGGTACCTAGGGGAAAATCATACGTGCTTAAAGAATGATTGCTTTTTGCTCTGCAAAAACTTCCATATTCCTGGAAGACAGTCTTTATTTTTAATCTCCTTAGGAGATCTCACATCGTCTGTTCCATCCCAGGTATGACCAATCAAGTCTGTTCATTTTTATCTTAGATGAGCAATTAGGTCATGTGCATGAGTGTTATAAAGTATTTCAAGGCTAGTGCGTGTGTATTGGATGAATGATGAAGATACCTTATGCCCTGATAACCTCTCTTCTGTGCTCGTACTCACGGTCTCTGAGCTTTGAGTTCATTCAAGCATTTTTTTTCCCAAATACATAACACTCTGTTATCTGGGGGTTTTTTGTTTTGGTGGTGTTTTTGGTGTTGTTTTTTTTTTTCTTTTTTTTACTTTGGAAGGATTAAAATGTTATTTTCTTTCTTTGTAGCCGTTTCCATTGGTTTCTTCTTCACGATGGTTGGTGAAAAGGGGTGAATTAACAGCGTATGTAGAAGACACTGGACTTTTTTCTAAAAGAACTTCTAAACAGCAGGTGTACTTCTTCCTCTTTAATGATGTCCTCATTATCACCAAGAAGAAGAGGTAAGAGCTTCACCAGTACAAAATTGCTTTTGTGTTCAACTCCTTGAATCACAGAGAGAACAGCTGAGTTACCGTTGGCTTAAACTTACCGTGACCGCTGTGTGTGCCTCACCCTAGGGGAAGTGAAAACTGAAGCCTTCTGGCTTTGGAACAGAAAACTTGGTGGATCCACAGCATTTTTACATATTTTCTAGCCACTTGCTTGTTTGAAAGAATGAAGGAGATTCAGAGAGAAGTGGACCTGGTAGTTGCAGCGTAAACCAGGAGGAATTAGGAACTAAACATGTTTTAAGTCCAGTCAACGTTTGTGAAGCCTTTTACGTGTTTTAATATGCCACATCTGAGAGAGTAAATGAATTATGTAGATATTTGAGTTTCTAATATTGCTTGACCAGACCACGTTTCAAATAACAAGTAACCGCTTGTTAAACAGGATATATTTTTGGAAAATGCAATTGAAATTCTGAATTGTCAGACAAGTTAAAAAGTTCATTCTTGATGCCTTAGCAAAGGGAGAGGTTTTGGAAGCATAAAGAAATGTTAATTTTTATTCTCCTCCATGCTTTCCACAGTTGGACTGTTTCTGAGAATGATGTTTGGGAGAGCACTTCCAGCAGTCTCCATTTAAATTTTTATCATTAGATTTGAGGGAGGTCTAGAATAATTGAATTGAATGGAATGAACTTTACATCCTCTGATGTTGTGATTAGATAATATTTGATAAACCTTATTCCTGAGACTAAAAACTGTTTTGAAGAACAATTATTTAGCATCTGAGTTGCTAATTAAGCCAAATACCAGCTATTTTTAAAGGAAATGCTTTTGTGAAACTTCAAATACAGAATTTAAATAAATTTTGAGGAATGAAGTGTGATACAAAATCTGGGAAGAAAATGCTAATAGAAAAGCAAAGAGCTAAATGAAAATGGAGGGGGGAAATATTTAAGTGAAAGGGTTTTTTTTTAATAAAGATGGGAAGAAAAGTGAAGACTCCTCCCCAGCTATCTTACTGATGTGAACTTGTTTCTGAGAGTCAGTGTTTATCACAGCTTATGCTGAAATGTTTCTGTGAAAGTCCCTTGTTAAATCACTGGGCCACTGGCAGCAGCACATCAGAGCTCTATTGCACTTCTCTAAGCAGCATCTTTCTTTTCTCATGGGACTGCGGTTAACATATTACTGTGTTGGTAGCCAAGTAAATGTTTGAGTTGGGAGAACAGTGAAAAATCTATTATCTGTGTTGTTACATTGTTTATTGGTTTCCCATGTGATGGCTTGTCCAGATTATAAAACAAGATTTTTGTAGCAACATATCTTATCCAAACTTTGGGGCTTTTGATTTATAACAGTTTCCAGCTGTTGGAATTGAAATGTCCTAAATGGACCCAGAAGCCAAAATTAAAGAACACTTCATGTTAATGATCAGACTCACATAGTTGCTCTCCCAAGAACCCCTGAACAAATGGATGGAATTGAAAAGGACAGGTTTCTGCGAGCCTCCCAGATACTCTGAGCACGAAGCACCCACTTTGCCCAAGTGAATAAGCTTATTAATAATATCTGAGCTGTTGGTGATCTGTTCTCCCACCCACAGCAGAGTTACCATGGACACCACAGCGATGGACAGAAATACTTGTTGCTAGCTGAGTTTAAATGTTTGTATTTTTACTTGAGCAGTTGCATTTCAGAAGATTCTTAACATTGCACAAAATCACTCCTTGCTACTGTGCTAAAAATACTAATTATTTAAGTGCTCCAGTCACGCTGTTTAATCTTTACCCAAAAGTTAATCTTCAGCTGTCCCGCCTGAGCAGTTTGCCATGTGTGTAGAACCTTGCGCACACAGCCGGGGGTGGCTGGGTCCTGGCTTCTAGAGGCCAGGTTTGATGGTACCTGTCGGAGGAGTCACGCTGACGACTGCTGGGTAATTCTGGCCCAACCAGATAGGGCGTGCGTCTCTGCTCGCGTCCTCGTTTTGGGGGCACTTTCCAAATGCCAGAGTCATCATTGTTAGAACTGCATTTTACACAGCGAGTGAGCGCTCCAGAAACTTTTTATAATGAGAACGGTTACATTTTAGCTATAAAAAAAATAAAGGGATGTCTTGTGTTGGTGTATGCTCAGGCATGCTCCAGAGTTCTTAATGTTTTAATTTTAATGATACTTTATTCATCATAATCCTCCTCAGCTACAATTTCACCTCCTGATTGAAATTGCAAGGTTTAACTGTTTTCTCTCTTCCATTAAGTAGGTTAAGAGGGATTTAGCTACCAAAATGTCTTCCTTTTTAATGGACGCCTTGTGGCTGTATCTCATACCACTATGAAATATTTCAGAGGGCTATGCTTTCCATGTCAGCGACTGGACGGTCCATTTTTGTGCATGTTACATGTACCTTGGTAATCAGGCTCCAATTTGTGCGCTGTAAAGCAGCAGGGTAGTCAGTTGCTTCATCACACTTGCCCTTCGAAGCAGTAAGGCAAACAGCTACTGAATAATACTCAAGACCGGCCATTGGGATTAGGCCAAAAAGGGACATGTGAACTTGTGATGTACATCATTGTGCACAAGATTTCGGAGAAGAATAAAAATCTGCATTTCTACACTGCTCAGATTTTAGTTTATTGGGAACTTTTCTCCTGTGCAGTAGTCCTCGAGCCGTCCTTGTAGCCCCTTCTGCTGTGTAGACACAATCTGATTTTTTTTTTTTTACATGCCATTTAAAAAAGCCATAGACTCTCTTAATACTTGTAAAGTTCTAATGCCTTACCTTGAAAGGAACAGTCAGCGCTGCGTGCGCCAGGGTGTCCCAAGTTGTGGTGGAAAGGCCAACTTCTATATGGTTGGTGCACGGGAAGATACCAGTTGATTCTTGTTCACGTGAACACAGATGTCGGTTGGGTTATGGTGTGAAGAGCTGGGTGATGTTTGGCCTGCTCAACTTCAGGAGCCTTCAGTGCTCCTCCAGGGCTACCTGTGCAGTCAGTGGAGAAGGCAGGTCCCTCTGGAGAGTAGTTCTACGTAGAAGCTTAATTCAGCTTGTCCAGGCTGCCCTCCAGAAGAGCAGCTTGCTTTCTGACTGTTTAGGTAGCTCTGGGAAGTTAGAAATTTGTAACGTTAACCATTGCAAATACTCTGCAAAGAGGTAAGTGTAGACTGATTTTCAAGTAACCAGAGTATTTCATGTATTGTTCATTCAGCTTTGCGGTAGTGTTTTACCCTTTTATTTCATTCATTGTAACATGCAATATAATTAATCTCCAAGTTGTTCTTTCAAGCTGCCTTGCGATTCACATGCACTACAGTACAATTGTTGCTTGGGTCCTTCTTGGGAGATTTGCTTTCTCTTGGGCTAGTGAAGACAGGTTCCACAACGTATGATGAAATGAGTGTTTTGTTAATATACAGAATACTTAAATACACGAACTATGTGTACGTCTTATGTTTGTATGTATTTCCTTCATAATGAGTTTTCAGCTTTCTCCCTCTTCCAAACAACAAGTATGGGTACAGGGATCATCCATGCCTCTCCCACGCAGCTGGTGAGCATAGCTGTTGGGTTTAGATGGGTATTTGTCTGTGGCCAGGCAGGTGGAGCTTCTGTAGTGGACACTTTACAACTGCCCGAGGAAAGGAGAGGACCAGGTTACAGAGGCAGCTATTTCTCTGATACCTTTTGCAGGCTTGGAGGCGTACATGGTAACAATGTTCTGCTAAAATCGGGATACAGCTAGCTTTGAACTCTACCAAAAGTCAAATGCCTCCTTTTGTTCCACGTGTCCTCCTGGGACCATGAAGATCTGGTTACATATTTTAGTTATTAACGCTCAAAGCTGCCTGCGAGCTGGCTCTGTGTTCTGCAGAGTTCAGGAGAACTCCAGAGTTAATAAAGTTGTGTTATATACAACTAAAGAGCTGCCTTACCCAGCTATCCCAAAAAATCCACCAGTTACATCCTGAGTGCTTTTTAGAAGCACTCTTTTTGGGGGGACTCCAGAGAGGCTTGCATTTTTGAATGAGTGCACATTTATTGAGTATTTTGTTTTCCATAACCCCCTAAGGATACAACTAGAATCCTGTCTGTCTGAATGGCTCTATGGCTTGTCAGCTCCTGAGATACCTTGGCAGTGGAATGCAGCTGGACTTCACACACTGGAAATCACCCAGAGGTTCGCTGCTGCTTGGGAATGCTGCCTGTTCCCAGCTGCTTGCAAAACTGCGATTTTTCTCAAGATGCCAAGGGTGATTTTGTAACTAAAGGCAACTTGTATGGAAAAAGAAGGATGTCAGAGGAGACTGACCGTGTGCTTCCTGTTGAAGTGTAAGTGGCCTAGAACAGATGCTGTTACATCAGTAGATATTTGGTCTTCATAAAAGCACCTCTGAAATTCGCATGCGTTCCCTGTGAAGGGATATAAAAGAGTCCTTTTGTGTCATGTTCTGAATCTAAATATAAGTTTAGCAAAAAAGTTCAGTTTTAAACTGAAAATGAATGTTGGCATATTTGTATTACCTGATTACAATGATTTGAAAGAACGTGTTAAATGTCCTTCCTGTTACTCCGTTGTCTGGCTGAGTGGATTAAAGTTTCCCTTTATGTACATCTGCTCGCTCCATCGCTGTCACCTTTATCAGCAAATGTCGTTATCCCTGGGGAAGGAGGAGAGTTTGTGGGCCTCACAGAGGGCACAGGAGGCAAAAAGATGAGGACTGCCTAGTATTCCAGATCAGACTATTCTGTTGAATGGAGATGAAGAACTAGGAAGGACTTGTAGAGGTTTATCTCTGATGAATTAGCAAGGAATGCATTTATTATTTGTTAGGCAAATGTAAAGACTACGTTTCTTTCTCAGATACAAGATGCCCAAGTAACTACAGCAGCATCCGTAGCTGGTTTTGCTAGTTCTGCCCTTGGCTAAGCAGGGATTGCCTAGACTAAAATACTGAACTGTCGTCTTGAAAAAAAAAAAAACAAAACCAAAACCCCCAAACAAACAAAGAACCCACAAAACCCCAAAAACCCAACCTCCCCCCCCCCCAAACCCCACACCAACCAAGCAAACAATCCTTTTCCTGTTTGAGAGTATGTATTTTAAGAAAAGGGGGAGAGAGAGACTGATAAAATACTAGCTATAAAGTGGGTTTTCTCTTGTTCAGTAGGAACCCTTAGCTACTACGGATGGCATTTGAAACAATTGTCCTCAAGTGATAAGTAGCATCTTTGTGTAGATAATGGAATTAATTTGAATCTAGAGCTGGATTTAGGGGAATGTGAAACTGAAATCCACAGTCTCTACTCCCTCCCCTCTGTAGCCTCTCTTAAAACACGTTTGCTTTTCTACAGTAGGACAATCACAGTAAATTTAAATTTGTTATGTTTCAGGGAGTAGCTGTGTGCACACCTTTCCCAAAAGATAAGGACGTACAGAATCCATTTGAATTAAGATCTTCCTTTAGCATCCCTGGGCTGTATGTGAGGAAATTAAAACTTAGCTTTCCATATGCTGAAATACTGAAGATTGTCCCAGCTTCTCAGTGTGCTTATGTTAAATTCCTTTAATTAGACCAAAACCTATCTGTAATCTGTATTCTTTCTACTTTGGGACCCAAGAAGTTGTGTAATGGCATAATTAACCTGGCTTCATTTTTAGAGAGCTCTAAACCAGTTTGCTGTGTCCGTCTTACTTTCTATGTAATGTATTTTAAGTTCTTGCAACAGCGCTCTTGCAAGTTTTGTTGTGTTTTGTGCCTTTGTCAATGGTATCTGAATGGGGAGTTGTGATTCCAGCCCTCGCAGTGGAAAACGCCAGCGGATTGTAGGGAATTGTTGGTACCATTTGGAGACTTGGAGAAAAAGAAACAGGGAAGGAAGGTGTTAATCTTATAAGCTACAGTGATTTCAGCCCTATACGATAAATCTAACTGAGCTCGTCTGTCGCTGGTCTGCTTCCTTTGTAAAGCCCCCAAGCTCCTCAACAGAAGATGAGAAGAAAAAATACTTGTGAGAAGCATTAGAACATGACACTAATAGAACTATGTAAGTCGTTTGAGAATGTACAAGGCTGTACTAAAAAAACCCAAAACATTTCAAGTATTTAATTCACAGAACAAAAGTAAAAACGTATCCCACGCAGTTGAAGTAAGAACTTTGGTTTTACACTAGATGCGCTGGCAGGAACTATTCATCCACAAAAATCCACAAATAGAATGTGATCTGTAAACCTGTCATCCCTTGAAGAATAGAGGAATTCTAATGCTGCATAAGTCACAGAAATCAGCAGTAACTCATGTTTTGAGTCATAACGTTGCTAAGTTGTCTTTAAGCATTTCTTTTTCTGAAGGATTAATAATAAGAATTATAAAGACCATTATATTAACTACTAAGGTATTTGCAGGCATTTTTCTGACAGTTGACAAAATGGGTAGAATGTATCCCAGCAGACATTAAGTCATCATCTGTCCATTTTCTTACAATAGTTGAGCAACCATAAAGGAAGAACACGCTTCATTTGCACCTGCCAGAAAGGGGTATGTCACCATCGGCATGCCAGACTGCTTCAGTTCCAGGTGTTTGGGATTTGATTTGCATCAGTTCAGTGCTTAGGTTTCTGTCTATCTCTAGCAGCAAAATTAATCTTCTCTAGTATTCTTTCAGTTTAAATTATTTAATGAACCATAGTAGTATGAGGCTCTAGTGTAGCTTTTCACTACTTGGGACTGAAATCTAAATAGATTTTACTTTAGGATGGAGTATGTACAGTTGCACCTTAAAATTCGGTGTATTTGATTTACTGCAAAATTTGACAAACACAGCAATGTATGGGCTAGCAGGGAGGACTGGCTTTATGCCTATGTAAGCAGTTTTCTTCCGTCTTTTGTTGCACCACTGTAGGACAATAAATCTGAAAGAAGTTTACAAGCTTACATGAAATTATGAGGTAATTAGTTTATCAATATCCTGGGTTTATAATACAGAGCAAATGCAAGTAAGACAATTCTGGGAAATACACTCACGGGCTTCAGTGGAAACAAAAAGGCCTTTTCAGCTGGCTTCTCTTCTCTTGTGATAATTGCTATTTCTTGAGTAAGGGATGTACGTTCATTTTAACTGCTTCTTCAACTATGTTTCATGACTTTAAAAATTTGGAAATGCGGAGTTACTTTCCACTTGCAAAAAATATGTTTACAGTATTGCCTTGATATGAGTAAGGGGCAAACCCAATAGATAAGGGCAACTGGTTGAACTCACGTAAGAGTGCTGAAGAATGCTGCTTAAGATGTGTGGATATTCTGGCGTTGAAGCACACGTTGTAAATACATCGTGAGGGGCTGAAGTAACTGTTCGCTGCTCCCGTCCAGCACTGCTGTATGTAACTGTGCCTTGGCCAGACGTGCTGCTTCCTGTCTTTGCCCTGTCTGCACCTCTCAAGATCATCTTGATTAGCTGAAGTGATTCTCACATTTAGAAATGAAAGTCTGCTGTTCAGGGAAGAGTGCGTATTTTCATTTAAGTCCTTCTGTTAAAATCAGTTAACACGCTTCTGTTCTGATTTGTGATGTCTGATGTTTGCATGTTTTTGTCATTTTGGTATAATTCAACATTCAAGGACTTTGACGTAAGAGGTCGGGACGTTACTAAGCACATGTAACAATCTGTATTCGTATGGCTTAGAGTCAGTATGTTTATCTACAAAGTACTTTCTAAAACGTGAATTTCACAGTGCGTTTTGCAAGACCAATAGTGTGTGACAAGCCTTTGCCCATTTTTAAAATTCATAATTGACTAAGGTTATATTTCAGAATAGTCTAAGTTTTTGGACTAGACCTTCTACGTGCAGGTGGACAAGGAGTACAGATGATTATCCTGTATTTAAAATGAAGATCAAGTGTTTATCTGGCAGCAGTGTACTTGCCCACAGTTTTACAGGCAGAGGAAAAGGGAAATTTTACTTTTTTTCCTATACCATTCTAAAATTAAGGTCTGTTCATTTGAAGCTACAGAAGAAAAACGTGCAGTTGCATATAATTGCTCTGCCTGTTTTCAAATTAGTGGAGTTAAGTTGAGCTTACAGCACCTCAAGAATGCCAAAATCATTCAACTGTGCCACTAAATTAAATTCCACAGGGTTTAAAAACTGATTTACTTTATATCTTGGAAAATGGGTAGTTTCAAAAACAAACAGAAAAGATGAAGATCTGAGGTGTCAGAAGAATTGAGGCACACGATGTAGTTAAAGGTGGATTCTATGACCGAGTTTGCTTCCAGACATAGCTAATGGGAAATTGAACATTAAACTTGTGGCTTTTTTTCTTCCCTTCTTTGTTCTGCAGTGAAGAGAGTTACAACGTCACAGGTTATTCTTTAAGGGACCAGCTGGTGGTACAACAGTGTGACAGTGAGGACCTGACTGCTTCTCCTGTAAAGAACGCTTCAGCTATGCTGTACTCACGGCAGAGTTCTGCAGCTCACCTCTTCCGACTGTCAGTCCTCAGTAACCACGCAGGAGAGAAGGTGGAGATGCTCCTGGGAACAGAGACTCAGTAAGTACATAGTTACCGTTTCTGTAATTTTTCACCTGGTCATCTCGAAAGGCTGCCCCCACCACCCTGGTCAAGGTAGTATGAAATGCCCAGCGTCTGTCTGGCAAGTTCAAACTGAAATGAAGTTCCCAGCCAGGCAGGCTCTGCGGTGTCTGGTCAGCAGCGACCAAAGGAGCGCTACTGCAGAAATGATCCTCTGCTCGTCGTGGACGGCGTCGGTGCCCTGCTCAGTAACGCTGAAGCACTCGTGGTGACACCTGTGAGCTGCTGTGATTTGAACTGTTTGTAATTTAAGTGGAGGCTTTCAAAGCGAGGCAAGGCAACCTTGACAAACCTTTCTCATTTTATTGAGTGGCAGAGGAGAGAACGTGCAGCTCAGCTGATACCCCCTAGGTACTGGAATAAAGCCTCTGCAAACCTCGATCAGTTTCTCTAATGTCATCCTGTCATGAGAGGACTCTGGTTGTAAGGCCATGTCATGTTAGTGTCATTCTCTTTCCTTGAGGTTATGAGGTAGGAATAATGGAAAACTGAATGCGTACGTTGAAATTCTGTAAACCAAGTACTTGTTACTACATGCTACTGTTTTGGGTCTTCAGGCCAAGAATTAACTATGCCTCTGCCTTGGATGTTGCCAGCTCCCCAGCCAGTGAGTAACGGTGTGGCTGTGCTTTGCAGAGTGTTACTTTAATACCATTGCTGAGAGAACTAACTTGAGAATCCATTAGAGGGTAGAACAGAAGGGAGAAATGACAAGCAAAGCTTCACGTGTACGTGAAACTGGTATGGGCTGAAATGGAGTTCTCCCCAAAGGCACCACGGACCCTGTGAACAGCCGAGTGCCTCTTCTAGACCTACAGCCGAGTGGAGAAGTACAAAATGGTTGGTGGCGTGTTTTCCCCAGGTGGTTCAGTAAGGAGCAAAGGAACAAAAAGTATGTGGAGGTAATGTAAAGGGAGTGCATGTTGATGGAAGGTACAGTAAATTCTAGTCACATATTGCTCCAAGTTGTTATAGCTTTGCGTAAAAATGTTTATAAAATAAGCAGTATTGCTCCAAGTTGTTAAAGGATTATCTGTGATAGCTTTGCGTAAAAATGTTTATAAAATAAGCAGGAAGCTAAGGTCTTATGTTGAACACATTTTTGCAAAAAAGAGTTGAGAATTGACATGAGACCATTCATAAACAGCGCAGAGTTTGGTCACTTTCTGCAAGGACGGAATTTTTGGTCAGAGGGAAGGTACAGAATGCACAGAAAGTCAGTGTAAAGTCAGCGGCAGAGAACCGAAGTGTAAGCAGGTTGAAGGTCTGGCCTACAAGAGGCCTGCAGAGAGGAAGATGTACGTTTGTGGCGTCCAGTGAATTACTGGGTGGATGTGGTTCTTGATTTGATTTTTGCACTCTCTAAGCTGAAGAGCACTTCAGACTTACCAGTGCAGATTTATATATATGTAAATGGAAAACTTCTGTATAAAGTTACACTGTGAAGTTCAGACAAGACTCGGTCTGTATCTTTTCCACAGTCCGTGGAATAATAATGCTGGATTACTGAATCCCTTCTAGTTGTTACTGGTGAGGCAAACAAGCAAGGGCTGCAGGGACAGAGATTTAAGCAGTTTGGATTTCTTGGGGTTTGTGAGGTTTGTGGAAGGAATTTCCATTAAATTTAAGTTATTTTCAACTTAAGTGATATCATGGTAAAAAAAAAAAAAAGTGTTGTCACTGTTACGTAAACTGCACAATCTAATGATTGCATATTGCAATATGGAAGTTTCTTATTTAATTTGAATTACAAATCTCATTTAAGTATCTGAGTCCTCACTGGGTTTTGTTGTAGCATGAGTACGATGTGTTTAAATACTTCTCTAACACACCTTCTGAGAACTGGAAGTCAAACCACAGGTTTTCTGCCTAGCTTGCCTGTCAACATAACGCTTTTATCTAACAATCATTATGTCCAGAGGGTGACTGCCTGAAGTAAACCAGAACAGCAAACAGTATACAGTAGTTGAAAGCACTGTGTGTGTATGCATTCTACAGCTTGCTTAACTATATATATAGCTGTCCTACAAATAGTTCAGACCTTTACAGACTTCAAAGAACAGAAATCGGTGCCCAAGAACTGCAGGTTCTTACATTTCTAACGAAGGGTCCCATTACAAGCAGTCGAGGTGGTGAGAGTTGGAGCTTCAGGCTCTCTGTAATGACATTCCCATCTCATCCCGTGGCACACCGTGCTGCTGTGCACGCTGAGTAATTGAGCGTGTGAATCTAAGCGTGACGCAGGTTACTTACGAGGACAATGTTGCTTTTACTGTTGTAGTTAAGGGAGGCTTTCTTGATACTTGAGCTTGAATGATCTGACTGCAGAGATTCGTTTAAGCTTGCTATGTGTCTGATACTTTTCTACGCTGGTTTGTTCCTCATTGGTTTAAAGTATCTTATCCTAATTACCAGTTCTTTGAGCAATTTGGCATTTATACCACACTGTCTATGTGTAGAGCGCAGTATTAGCCAGAGGAAGTAGGCACAGGTGCATTCCCAAGGCAGAACGGTGGTAACAGGCAAATGTTGTTAGGGCACAAATGCAGAATGCTCTTGTCCTGGAGCAGTGATTTGTGAGGCATTTATTATAACGGTTGGATGGTGCAGAAGTGGAAACAGTACTGGATTAAATGGGAGGAGGAGTTTGGCCTTGGGGAAGCCGTGGAGCTGCGCTGGGATAGAGGTGGTCCTTGTTCTCCTGACCAGTTTTGAAGAGTGTTCTGCTTTAGAAACGAGCAACAAGAAGTGTCTTGTTCTTTCGGGTGCAAATATCCGAGAGGCCATCATTTCTCTGTGGTGCCATTAACTTCCACACAACCCTTCACAAAAGTGAAAGATTTTATCTGTTTTGTTGGAAGCTGGAGGCGGGATAGAAGACATGAAACAGAGTGCTCCAGACGTATCCCAGCCTGGAAAAATTTACAGTTTTAGGTTTGCTTTCAAAGTTTAGAATAACCCTGAAAGGAACTATAGATCATTAATGATTCCTATTAAAGATCTCTTTATAAAGTAAGCAGATGATTCAGACTTGTTTGGAAATGCGTTTTTATTGGGGAAAAAAATGGCAGTACGTTTTTAGTTGTCTGGGCTCTTTATGAAAAGACATTTTGTTCTGCAGATTTATTATTGATTTACTATATACAGTCTGTAATATAAATAGCAGGCGAGCAGATTGTCATTCAGAGGAAAAGATTCTGAAAAGAATGACTTGATTTGAAAATTACCTATTTTTACAGAGTATTACCATGTATGTATACAACAGGTACAAAAAAATTTCAACTTTCTCTTAGCTGTGAGAAGGATGGGAAGGGAATCTACAATAGGAAGGCCGAGCTGGATGGTTTAGAGCACTTACTGAACAGAGTTTTGCACATGTAAAAATATTTTTGCCGACGCAAAGATTTCTAGCAGTTTTGATCGTGTTTGACAGTTCATGTGGTGCGTGGTTCCCAAGTACAAAAGCACCTGCATTAGGTCAGGAACTGTATATTGCCCTGTGAATAAGGCACAAAATACACGGTACACACAGATTAACAAGAAATGCATACTTAAACTGGAGACAGACTGGCATTATCCCATTGTTCTCAGAGTTGTCTGAAAGGAAATGTAGTTTTCCTGTAAAGAATGGTTACAGGGAAAGAAAAATTTGAGTCTAAACCCCACCTGTTTCAAAAAAAAAAAAAAAAAGCCACAAAGTTAAGCTTGTGCAAAATTGTACACAGATGTTCTTCTTTTGGTTGAAACACAAGAAGTTTCTTATCACCTACTTTTAATGACTGAAACATCAAGGTAGCATGCGTTGTAGTTTTGGCCATCTATATGAGATCAAGAGGTATCACGTGTTAGTAGGACATGCGCAGTTAGTTTCATCTTTGAGGAAGAATGTATGTTGGGATTTAAAAAAAAAAAAAGACAGTTTCTTATTAAATGACAAAACCCCAACACAAATATTTATATTCAAAATAATCAGGGGGATATTGTTTTCATTATGAAAGAAGCGTCCTCAGAAAGACTTCCATTCTGAATCCCTCCATCCAAAGAAGTGTTGATGGTCTGTGAACAGAAAAGAGATTTCTAGAGCTAGCTGGAAGACAGGCCATGAGATGGTGTCTGTGTTCTCGGAAAAGACCGATGAACTTTATCGTGGAATGATGTGTAGTGGGATGTTTGAGTAAGGCCTGCCCGCCCTCTGCTCTCAGGCTGGGCTTCACAGACTAACTGCAGCTCCTTACTGAATCATCATCTCCTCAGCTGCTGAGCAATGGGGCACCTTGGAAGACGTACTCTAGAGAAGGCTCTCATAGCTTGTGTAAATGTCCCATTCTCCGACACTTCCAAAGACACCATGGTGCTGTTTCCAAACAGAATTTTACTCTTCTCAGATGTTTCAGATTTTTGACAAAATCAGGTCTCAGCAGAAGGCAGATGTTTTTCATTTAAATTTTTAGTTAAATACTGAAGTTACCCAACAAAATTTTTTTTAGGGGAGGGGGAATAGGAAAATTCAACCCTGCAACTCCCTTGTGTTATTCTAATCTGTACTGACAGCAAAGCCCTTCAACAAACATGAGATAAAATCTAATTTCACCGAAATGTTTGTTTTGGGAATCAAGTTCAAATTTTAATTTGTCCAAATTCAAAGTTAAAATGATTACATTGTTATAGCTCAGATACTAACAGGGTGATTTTAGGATTAGCTCTCCTTTTTTCCCTTACTGTCCGACATCACTTTAGCTTGTTCCACTCCCTTCCAAAATCAGTTGTCAGTTATCTGCACTTCTGTTGATTTATTTTATAACACTTAGAATACAGATCGTTCTTTCTGCTCTCCTCAGAAATACTGACACATGTAATCTGAGATTGATTATGGTTTTCCTAGGTTACACAAGGTGAGATTCAAATCAGTGGAGTTTAGGCCTCCACTGGGTCCTTGCTTATTTGCGCCAGCTCTCGGATTCCCTAAACCGACACATCTGGAAACACAAATGTGTCCTTCTGAGAGCACAGAGAAACTTTGGGGTTGGGTTTTCAGGGGTTTTTTTGTTTGTTTGTTTTGGTTTTTTTTAAATTATTCTTGCCTTTCATTCTAAGTGCACATTGCTGGTAGTTCTTAACTCAGGAAAGCTGTTGGTATTGTATATTAAAATTGCTCTATTGCATTTATCAGATGCTTTGTACATTAGATGAGAGGTTTTTTTTTAATAGGATAACTAATAAGCATTAGTCACAGACACTAGTGGAGAAGTTTTTATCTGCATTATTTGAAAATAATTAAAATAACGGTGTATAAGACATCATGCCAGTAGGTCCCATGTATATAAGCCTTTTTTTCTACTCCAACATGCTTAAGTAGTTAAATATTTTTGAATAATATGTTACTAGAAGTAGTATCACACCTTCTGGCTCTATTCTGAGGAGAAAGGAGGTTTGTGTTTGTTTTCTTTACCCAAAAGAGGAAAAAATGAAATGGAGAATCCTGAAAAGGGGAGCAGCCTTGACCATTATAATTAGGAAAACTGAGTTTTGTCATTGCCATTTGCAGGAGCGACAGAGCTCGCTGGATTACAGCGCTTGGACAGGACAGAGACGGGCAGAAAACGGACAGGACAAGTAAGTTACCACTAACAAGATTTCTGAGCGCTTTTGATAGGAGAATGGAAACGCACTGCCCCTTAGTGGGGACGCGAGCAGCGGGAGACTATAAATACCCTTAGAAATGTTGTCCCTTTTCTTGGGCTCTGTTGCTTTAGTATACGTGAAGTTGCCATTTCTTCCTGCGCCCAGGGGCTGCTCTGAGGAGTTCTGTTTTGCATAGTAATTTCTGTTTGCCTTCATTAACACTGCCTTTGTCAGTTGTTTCAGTCTGTCAGCAAAAGTGCAAAGCCCCTTCCCTTGTGTGTTTATCCCAAGTTTGTTTGTGTGTAATTGCTCGGGTAGGAAGTAATTTGCATAATTTGCTGCCTCCTTTGGGTTTTTTTTTTTTTTGGAGGGGGTATACTCTTAAGATGGAAATGTTTAAAATTGTACATATATTTTAACAAAAGGTACTCTGTTACGTATATTGTTTAATTCAACCAACCTGGCTTATTTCTTCCACAGCTTTGACTCAGGTAGAGATCATCAGAACTTACACAGCAAAGCAGTCAGATGAACTGTCTCTTCAAGTGGCTGACGTTGTTTTGGTTTATCAAAAAGTAAATGATGGTGAGTGAAAATTTTGCTGTTAGTCACCATCTGTCACCACTGCAGGTGAATCCAGCTAGAAAAACTTGTTTCCTAATAGCACTGGCTGTACAATGAATAAAGGTTTAGCTTCCAAGAAAAACTTGAGCATTTTGGTTCAGGTTTCTAACAGACTGCCTCTGTTTAGGCACAGATGTTCAAAGTAACTCATTGCCTATCACAATTTATGTAGGTACCTGCAGATAGCATGTGCTGGTTGGTTTTGACATGTGAAATTTCCACAAGTAAGAAATTTAATTCTACCTAAAAACATGGAGCTCAGACATTATTTAGTGAGTGAGCACCAGGTTTGTCTGAGTAACAGAAACAGACACATTATTAGTAGTGTCACGTACTGTGCTTTATTGCCTGTTAAATGCAGGGGTCTAGCACAGTGGTTTTGCCTAAGTTCTCCATAGCATCAAGTACCCCAACATCAAAATTGATTCGTCCCTGGACATGCAAGTGGTTCTACCAGTATCTCCTCATGTGCTGACTCAGTGATGCTTGAAACTGTCAGCACTTGAAGTACTAAGTCCTAACTTAATGATGTTACTCATTATTACATACAAAATCAAAGATCCTTTCAACTGTGCTGCATTGCTTTCTTTAGATTGCAATTATTCTTTGTATTACTTCAAACAATATATTTGAATTGTAATACAAAAAAATGTATTTATTACACTCATTTCATATCATATTTATTTTTACATACTCTTTTGTCCCGAGTCTGTCCATACAAAAAAAACCACCCTGCTGCACTAATCTGGTACTTTATTCACTACAAAGAAAGATAAATGTATCATGTATGTGATGATGGTGGCCAGTGCAACACACACAGTTCTGACAAAGTTACCTTTAACAGTACTCAAAAAGGTTTGTTAATCCTTGTCCTTTCACCCTTGCAGGTTGGTACGAAGGGGAACGACTGCGGGATGGCCAAAGAGGTTGGTTTCCCATGGAGTGCGCTAAAGAAATCACGTGTCGTGCCACGATCGACAAGAACATGGAACGGATGGGACGCTTACTTGGACTTGAAACCAATGTGTAGACCATTTTTGCTTCTTCATTCTACACTACAGGATTTGCACTAACTGCTGTCAGTGGGGGCATGGCTGCGTGCCCTACAGCGCTTGCATGGAAGATGTGGGTCACCAATGCAGAATACCGAGTAATGGAGCACTGATGTTTTGGCTACTTGTCCCTTTTGGTTTTGCATTTTGAGAGCTCTGAAGGGAAACCTAGGCTTGACCAGTAGCAGACTTCAACTAGAAGCTGTTTCTTAGGCACTGGAGATGAGCCATGTGCCTGACTCAAATTTCAGTTTCAGCTTTAGTTCCTCCCTCCCTGCCTCTTTCTATATTCTTTCTCCACCTTTTTTTGAGGCAGAACTCTGTGTAGGAGACTGAACACCAGAAACTCACCCAATCACTTGAGCTGAAGGTGAATAGCAGTATTGGGGGTTTCCCACACCTAAGACGCTGCAGTGTTACATTCTCAGTACCGCAGAGTATGTTAATGCGATACTTCCAGTTGTGTCCAAATCTGTGTGTAACCTGAACTACACTAACCAACCCTAGGACTACCTCTCCAGCACAAATCCAGGGACATCCCAGGCTGGCAAAGCTGACACAAGCTCCAGGGAAGAATCTAGAGAAGTGCCTCCAATGGGAGTGGTGTCTAATACAGGGTGTTACTCATCCAGGTAGCTCGGACTTTTTCTCCTTCTAGTGCTGCAGTGGTGAAGGCATTTCTGAAAGCAAGAGAGAGATACCAAACTCTGCATATATATATATATATATATCGTTTCTGAAAGCAAGAGAGAGGTACCAAACTCTGCATATATATATATATATATGCATATATATAACATTCATTATCTGGTTCTCAGATCTGTTTTAGCGCAGGTGTTTTAAAGGAATGTAACTGCTGGATCTGTCCATTTTGTTTCAGTTCTCCCTGTGTGTTGAACTAGGTCTTAATACTAAGTTATTGTTTCAGAGCAAAGGGTTTTGATGGAGACTGCAGAAAATGTAAAATACCTTGTTCTAGGTTTGGAAGGTTTGTTTGGGGTTTTGTGTCTTCTAGTCTTTCTGCTCTTCTGTACTAGAGGAGATGATTTCCTTCTGTGGAGGCAAAAAGTTCAAGCAGACTTCATTTTACCTACATCTTTAGCCCTTGTTAGCATCCTGTTGAATCCACCAGAAAAAAAAGAGGGGGAAGCAAGACCTGTAGTGTTGTGTTAAGAGGCCAGGTCGTCTCCTCTCCAGTATATATAATGAAGGGAGGGAGAATGATGAAATAGTACTTGGACCTTGCTTTCAGAGGAGCTCACATCGGTGCCGCTTCACACATGCTCTTCTCTGCTTTAGAGAAGACTTCTCACAATTGCACTATACACACCACTGGCTAAATTTTTGCATCTGCAGTTCAGCTTTGGAATTTCACAGAAAAAAACCAACCATGTCATGTTGTGTGAACAAAATGCACTCAAAAATGAAATAAATTTCAGCACATCTTTTCTGTATATAGGTGTGACTGTGTATAAAAATCTTTACCTTTTTAAGGACCAGCTGATAACTCAGCAGGGTAGAATACATGTTCAATAAAAATGAGGGGAAAACATGGTACAAAGGTTTTCTTTGTGTTGTACCTGTCTTTAAAGGGGCTGTATGTTGTTTTATATACTGTAATATGTTGATTTGATTTGTGAATGAATTGGATGTTTATAAATATGTATCTGTGACAATTTCAAATATATTAGGAAGGCAGTAACTTTGTACAAAAATACTTACCTTGACAGTCTGACAGTGGTCATACAGCCTTGTAAATTAATTTATAAGTAGACTGATAAAACAGTAATGAGAGAGACTGTAAATTTAGCAGAGACTTATTTAACATAGTAAAAATACTGCTAATATTTTAACAAATTTTATTGTATACAGGCAGATGTTTAACACAACTGAATGTATAAATCCAGAGATTAATGTTATTCAGATTTTTTAATACACTGTATATATTTTTCATACCTAGTTTTTCAAAAAATGCTGTAATTTTTTTTTAAAGACATTTTTCCTATTGTCAGACAGTTCTTCAGGAATTAGACTTCAATGATTTTATAGGACAACAATCAATAAAATGCTTTTAAATCCTTACTAAAAAAAGCTTCAATTTTTCTTTAACAACATGCAGTTTAACAGTATTTCTTAATGTCACTCTTGTCAAAGAAATCAAATCCATTCTGTAACCTGTGGCATTTTAAATTTTCTGTACTGTAAAGATAAATAACACTAACCTGTGTCCTCCTTCATCTGTCATAGTTCCAATTTATTTGTATGCCCATGGGAGTTGGAGCAATAGCACAAAATGCAGGCCAAGGGAGCATCTTGTCTCTCAGAGACTGTATTGGGAGCTAGGAAAACAGTCAAGAATGCAAGGTTTTTCAACTGTCTGTTTCTATAGGAGAGTTGGAAGGGACCTATAACCCTTCAAGGCTGACTAGAAGTTAGAGAACATTAAGGGCACTGGCCAACTGCCCCTTAAACACCCACAGTCATGGGGCATTGACACCCCTTCTACAAAGCCAGTCCCATCCAGCATTTGACCACCCTCTGGGTTTAAAAAAAAAAAAGAAAGTTTTCTAATGCCAAGCCTGAACCTCCCCTGACACAGCTTTAAACCATTCCCAGGCCCCCTGTCCCTGGATCCCACCTCCTTCTCCACGAGAGCAATGAGGTCACCCCTTAGCCTCCTCCTCTCCAGCACAGACAAACCCATGCCCTCAGCTGCTCCCCCCCCCCAGGACTAAGAGACATGCCTTCCAGCCCTGGCACCAGCTGTGTTGCCTCCATGAGCCTCTGAGAACCAGGTCCTGCAATCTGATACATGTTGCACACCTGACTTCTGCAAGTGACTGCAGAAAATAATTCAAAATTAGTTATAAGAGAAGGCTGAAACACAGCCCTACCATAGAACACTTGAGAAGTGCTGGATCCAAGTCTTTTGCAAAAAGTGATTGTATTAGTTATTATTAAATAGTTAACACTAAATGCTGGAAGACTGTATTGTAATTAATTGTAACCCGTGACTTCATTTAATAAAAGACCATACCACATTCTATTTAGTGTAGCACCAGCACATGCCTGAACAGGCATCTAGCAGGCACAATACTGATAATTGGTATCGCCTCTTAAAATACTCAAGTTTCACTCTAAATTCCCCTCATAGCTCCAAGAGGTCTTAGAAATTTAAGACAGCATGACACCCAATATATCAAAAACTTTGTATAAACAATAAGTTTTCAAAAGCTAAGGAGTTTTTGGTTTGTTTTTTCCTTTCCAGCAATTCCACAGTATTTTCATTAGCAAAAAAAAAAAAAAAAAGTCATCATCTGTTAACTCTAACTTGCTTTAAGATGAACACTTCTGCTTTAGAGGGAATGATCTAAAACTCGTCCATTGCTTTCACTAACCAATGTCTGCACATGCATGTGCACACAGACACACG